CCCCAAAACCCCAAAACCCCAAAACCCCTTAATGTTCTTTGCTTGTTGAATAATTTGAATTTATTTATTCTTTCTCTAACTGAAAGCTGGATCTTGGGAATAAGGGCTGAGGCTTAATATTCAGTAGAGCTGACACTTTGCTGTGAGTAATCAAGCTGAATTTAAATTGATGTGCAAGGGCTTGAGACATAGACATGTTTGCAAATGAAGATTTATCAACCTTAAAATCTCTTTTAAGAATTCTATTTTAATTGCTTCTTGAAATCTTGCAAGATGTTACCAATAGAACATTTCATAAGTTTTCTTGTAGGTGCAGCTAAATATTTATCTGCGTCACGGCATTCGGGATCGGAATAAACACCAAAAAGAAGTGTAGATTTCAGCTCAGAATCTCTCTGAGTTTTTGCTATCACTTTCCCTCTTGTATACTTCTTCTCTTGTAAATTGAGGTGAACCCTATCATCAGGATGAATATAGTATTGATAGCCTTTCTTCTTTAATGAATGATTCATTCTTTTGAATAGCATAAGCAAGAGAGTAATTCTTGACTTGACAAAGCCTACCACTCTTAAATGCTCTTGAGTGAGAGCTTTGCCTGAGGCTGACCCTTCGCTCTGAAGGTCTTGAGTATAAATATTGATCTGGACAAAGTTCTCGTAAGGCATCACTGTAGGCAAGGGTCTGATTAGAGTGGTCAACGTAGCTCTTATCATTGCTTCTCTCTCAAACTCGAACAGAGCATCAGATTTCTAGAGTCAGTCTAGCAACTTACAAGTTTCTTTTGAAGTTTTCTCATAAGATCTCTTCCTTGAGTGAAATATTTAGAGATAATTTTCTGCGTAATTGGACAAATTTTTGTATATTTTTGTATTCTCGGGTCTTCTGAGATCTTGATTTCAAAGAATTCCTGAACAATGTCAAGAGGTTCAAGGTCTGGATACTTGCAACAGAGCTTAAACAAAATCTGACTGAGAACAGTCCCTATACCTAGTGAAAAGAGATTACCATTGAAATACCCTAAGACAAAGGAGTAGATTCCTTTCCTTTTTGCCCAATACTTAATTAGTCTGAGAACTTTGCTGAAAAGTCTTGGATTCGGAACTTCCTCCAAGATCTGATTGTTGGCAATGATCCCTCCCAGCTTGACTCTGTTGCTAGGGATCTAGTGATTATAAATAATCCTCACCTTTAGCTAGCTCTTTGATGTTAGAGAGGGAATTGATGTCTTCCAAGTTTCAGTGAGAAATGTCAAATCTTTGATTTAGTAATTAAAACTTACTTTGTCCCATGGACTATTGCCTTTATGATTGGGATTCTGATATCCTCAAGAGTCTCGATAAAGCTTACAGTTGGGTGGCTATTTCAATACTTTAGTAAGCCCTATTAAGAAGTGAGATTTCAGATGAATCTCTGGTAATGTACAACACAAAATATCTATGTCCGAATCTATATTTTTAGCAAAAAGTTACCTTGGAGATAGCCATTGATTGACTCAGATCCAAAAATAAGTAGCTTATGTGTCAGATTCTTGTGATTTGGAAGACACTAGACTAATCAGAAGCTTAATATTACTTGTGTCACCCACTCTGCTATAATTTTCTTCAAGATTATCAAGGAGTCTTTGCGAGTATCAGCACTGAGATATTTCTCTGGGCTAAACCAATACTGCTGTTCAGCTAGCGAGCCTATACTTTAGAGTGAAAGATACCTTTGATATAGATTTCATGATCTGATTTCATGAAATAATTAATCATAAACCTACAAGTTAGGGCAATCTTACTGTTCTTCGTCCTGAGAAGTCTTTGTTGCTGCTGAAGTGGTATCTGTTTGCTCTTCCTTCTTTTCTTCTTCAAATTTTTCCATGGAATTTAATATTATTGATGAAATTTACTAAGCGGGGTTTTGGGGTTTTGGGGTTTTGGGG